CGGGACATGTTCATACGCAGAGGAGGGCCCCAACCAGACACTTATCCAGACCAACATCTTTTCTTCTCCCTCTGTCTTGACTGACCCCAATAAAAAAAAACAGACATACGTACATACATTCGAAAAACATTACTTTCCTTTTAGAGCTGAAGGGTAAAAAGAAAAAAAAGCCGTTAAATATCGTTTATTTATTCTTATTAATATATGATTATTTTTGAAAGGTTTTTCTTATTCAATAAAAATTAATTGTGATGATAGTAGATGTAGAGGTAAAAGGCTTGGTAACTGTCGGTAGGTAGCCGCTGACCGTAGATAAGTAATTTTATTATCATTCTTGAATTACAACTGAGTTACAAGAGGATTAATTCTTAAAAGTAATTAATTAATCGTAACGTGACGATGGCGTAATAAATATTCATTTAACTTTCTTTAATCCTGAGAACTATTAATGAGTCCACGCCGCAGGCTTTTAATTCTAAAAACTCATTATTGTTCAAATGAATGGCGCCATAAGCTCTGTAAAATGGATTAAAGAGCAAGTATAATCTTAAATTTATAAAGCATTTAACGTCTGTGTTACAGGCATTGATTAATTCTGCCGAAATTAGTTTACAAATTTAAATTTCTTTAAATTTGTAAATAAAGAAGAGAAAGAGAGAAAGTTATAATGGATTTACAAAAATAAGAATTGAGGGGATTGAACTACTAAGAATTGAGATCGGTGATGAGGTAAGACCGTAAAATTCAAATTTACAGTGAATTATGCTATATTTTTGAAAGCTAGCAATATGGTACAAGATGCCATTTTATTCTGACCCGACCCCAAGTTTCAGCCAGTCGCTCCGAGAAGTAGGGCATGTGCTGCGCAGTATTTTATAAAACAAGGTAATTTTTGTATTTTTTTCGTCCGTCTGGTCTTTCCCTATTACTTTTATTTGCGATTTTTAGCGACGTCCGGTCTTATCCATTGATGGCCAATTCGTCATCAGGCATATAAAAAATTATGCCCTGTCTTCGCACACGTTTTAAGCAGGAACTGTTGAGTTTTGAAAAGTTAAATCTTCTTATTTCAGAAATCTGACATATATGGATGTCGAGAAAATAAACTTTTTGTCCGACTCTTTTAACTAGTCTAAAATCGTCCGATATTACCCCAACGCACCTTATATAATATAAAAAGGTAGTAGTAAGTAGTGGTAACAGCAACTAAGACCAGGTGCTAGTAAGTCCAGTACTACTATCACTAACCTGCCTGCCATATAGCAGTTACGACACACAAGAGTTTGTTGTAGGATGTCCTGTGGCAAAGACCGATTAGTGCTCAAGCAATAGCAAATTTCCTTGGATAGGTCCACGAGAAAGGATGAAGAGTAATAGTCAGAGACAATTTGTCCGAAGTTGTTGAAGAATATGGTTTCTTGGTATAAAATTTCCGGTTCTTCTTACGTTATAAGAGTAAAGAATGACGTTACATGACGTCACATAATGTGACACATCCATACAAGATTAAGAATCTAAATGCAGATACGTTTCACTAAGAACCAAGACGAACTGCCTCGCTACCGGTATAAAGAGTACATGATTGTCTTCACTCACTATACGAAATAAAGCTACATCAGCATTCTAGTAGTTGTAGTATTCAACAGGTACGTAATCATTGGTTGAGCTGCTCCATTCGTGTCGAAGACATAATTAATAAGATGCATCTTGACTTTTTCATGTAAAAATTAATATCACCATATTTAATTAAATAATAACTAACCAAAAGTTTTTTAATTGTTACCGCTAATCCTGATAATGGGCAATTTCTTTTTTTTTTTCTTGGTCAAATTTATTAAGATCTAAATAATAATGTTTAATATTTTGATTAATTAACCAATAATAAGAATTAATATTTAAGGTGTAATCTTTAAATTTAATTTTGTAATGGTCAGTGTTGTCTGCATCAAATAAATTATTATTGTTATAGGGGTATCTCTATAGTTTTCTCATCTAGTTGGTTTCTATAAATATATAATTATATATTAAAATGAAAAGATAAATATACATAAATATCAATAAAATAAAATAAATACAAAAAATACACAAAAAAATAAAGATCCAACCAGATGGAAGCCCTCGGCAGAGGAGACCAAACGGCCGAGGGTTAGGAGGAAAGGGAAAGAAACCGGCGGACGATGCGGGCGGTATCAAGGACCACTGCCTTCTGCATTTGAGCCGGAGCGGTCCGTCACGGAGTCTCAGTCGCCTCAGATGACCCGAGAGGCTGACTGGGATTAGCCCATTCGCAGAGACGACTACAGGAATAATTTCGGTCGGCCGACCACCCCACATGTCGGTCACCTCGTGAGCCAGGTCCAGATATTTTGTTCGCTTATCTGTTTCGGCTTTCACGAGGTTCTCGTCATACGGAATGGTAATGTCGACCAAAAATATCCTTGACTGTGCCCGGTCCATCAGCACAATATCAGGCTTATTCGCAAGAATAGTCCTGTCTGTGATGATGGCCCGGTCCCAGTAGAGCATGGCGCGGTCATTTTCGAGCACGGCTTCCGGCAAGTACTTGTAATACGGCAATTTTCGGTCCACGAGACCGTATTTCAGAGCGAGCTCCTGGTGTATAATTCTGGCTACTAGGTTGTGCCTTTGCAAGTACTCAGAGTTAGAAAGCGCCGAACAACCGGAGATGACATGCCTAAGTTACTCCCCGGGATGGCGACAAACTCGACAGACGTCGACGGTGCCATCCTTTAGGATGTATCTCCGATAGTTGTTGGTCTTAATAACCTGATCCTGCACCAACCTGATTGCACAGACAAAACCTTCGATTTCCCCGAAGAGGTCACCGAAACGTAGCCAGTTGAGGGAGGCGACTGTATCTACGAAGGGCTCATGTAGAGCCTTGTAGTACCTCCCGTGGAGCTCCTTCTCCTTCCATACGGTCTCCCGGTCGGAAATGCTAAGCACTGCTGGGTCCTGCCATTGCTCGTTGGCTAAGGATAGAGGGGTAAGCCCTTTATCACTAGAAATGACGTCATTATAGAATGGATCATCCGATCTCGCCAAGAAGTATTGACGGAGACTGCACACTTCGCGATTATGCATGGTGAGCGCGCTCAGAAAGCCACGCCCACCATGCTTTCGCGGCAAGTACAGCCTCATTACCGACGATCTCGGATGATGCATTCTATGGGACGTCATGGTAGTGCGGACTTTTCTATCCAGGGCGTCAAGCTCAGTCTGAGTCCACCTGAGTATGCCAAAGGTATACATGAGGACAGGCATGACCCAGCAGTTATATGCGTGTGACTTATTCACACCGGACAAAAAGGCTGTTAAGCACTTTGGTCAAGCGTGCATAAAACACGTCGCAAACTGACTGTTTCATACCAGCCTCATCGATACCGATGTTTTGTGACATACCCAGGTATCGATATGTTTCAGCCTCGGAAAGGGTTCTTAAGTTGACGGGCATAGATAAGTCTATGCCCACAGAGTTAGCAACCCTTCCCCTTTCAACATGGAGGACCGCACACTTATCCGTCCCCAGCTCCATTCCAGTGGAATTGCTAAATTCACAAGTGATGTTTAGCAATACCATAAGATGGGAGCGACTGGAGGCGAATAACTTGAGGTCATCCATATAGAAAAGGTGGGTCACTTTTGTCCCTCCTTTCCGTAGCTGAAATCCCCTCCCGTAGCCCTCCAGTAAGGTACTGAGAGGGTTCAGAGAGAGGCAGAACCAGATTGGACTCAAGAAGAAGATACCCCTTCTTATCCTTATGTGGTTCTCCGCAGCCATCATCCGCTCGCCCAGATGACAAAGGATCGTACTCCACTGCCCAATACACTGCTCGAGGAAGTCTAACTGTACAGTCAATCTTGTACAGCTCGAGGACCCTCTTTAGCCATGTATGGGGCACAGAGTCAAACGCCTTTCTGTAGTCTATCCAGGCGGCAGAGAAGTTCCGACGGTTGCGTTTCACCACTTTGCCTATGACCGCGTCAATGAGGAGTGGTTTCTTGGTTCCACGACCACCGCCCCGACATCCATTTTGAGCGCGTGACATCACCTGGTTTAGCTCCAGGTGGCGAGTGATTCTCGCGCTCAAAATTGATGTCAGTGTCTTATATATGGTGGGTAGACACGTGATGGGGCGATATTTGCTCGGGTCTGTGGTATGCTGATCTTTAGGAACCAAGTGAGTGATCCCAGTAGTGAAGAGGCTCGGGAGCGACTTCTGGGCGAGAGCCTCTTGAAACTGTCGGGTGAGTACAGCGTGACACACTATGAACCCCTTCAGCCAGAAACGATGCAGCCCGTCGAGCCCCGGACTTTTCCAGTTCGGGGCCTTACGGACCGCCTCAGCCACATCTTCCGGCGTTATGGTGATGGGGTCCATAAGCGTAACACTCGCACCCTGGCTCGCCACAACTTCCATCCAAGGGCCCTCGCTGTGGTTTACGGGCTCTGACCACAGGCCACGCCAGAATGCGATAATTTCAGAATGATCCGGTCCTTGGCCCGCTCCACATACCTTTGGTCGCTCCAATGATTTATAGAGCCTCTTCTGATCACTCTGGAAGAGACGATTCCGGTTGAACCGCCTTGACCTCTCGGTAAATCGTCGAATACTCTTCCCCCAAGCAGCGATTTTTGCTTCAGGTCGTCTATGCGCTCCGTTAGTTTCTGCGTGATATCCGGCTGGGACAAACTGATATTTGTCCCAGCAAACGCCATCCTAACGGTGCGCACAATCCTTGGTCTACTATTACCCGACCTGAAGCTTGTCAGTCTGCCGATAAGAGCCCTTGCCTTTGCGATACGGTCCTCGATTCTTTTTCTCCAGGCTGGGATGGCGCTACTTTGTGTAGTAGCGCGTCCAGCCATAGGAAGTTTGGCGCCAATAATACGGCAAACTGCCACTGCGGCGCCAAAGAGAATTGAGTCCGTCTCGCAAAGGTCCCGGCTGGCTTCCAAATAGGTCACCAGCATTGGGTTAAGAGGCCTCACGACAGCCCGATTTCCTTTGCTTAGGGGTATGCGGGGGAAGTCGCGGTCGATTTTCGAGAGGGGTGCTGCGCGTTTCCATAATCGCCTCTTCCAATATACTCCTCATTTGCTCTAGTTCGTGGGAGACTATTTCATCGTCGTTCGAATCAACCACAACTGGAAGATCCATGGCGGCTTCCACGTGTGGATGCTGGTCTGTCGGATGTGGAGCTGCATCTCCAGCCATAGCCGATTCATTCGACGATGGAATAGCCTCACATCGTAGTCGTTCGAGTTCGGCATCATTAAATATTTTCGAGCGCATTATGTACCGAACTCGGTCTACCAGGTTTTGTTCCGTGACGGGGATAGAAGGCTCCAGCTCAGCAAAAAAGCAATGCATCCGAGCCCTATACGCTATTCCCACAGTTTCTTCCTCTTTGGCCCTATAGTACGCCCACAGTGCGTTTTCGTTCATAGATTTTGTCCAAAGCATGCGACGTGCTCCACCAGCGGCGGGTGTCGCTTGCTGAGTTCGAGAAGACCCAGCCGACACCAATCCTTCTGGTGGGGATGATGGATGTGAGGGGCTGCTAGGTGATCATGCAGCTCCTCGCGCTCGGCTGGCGGCCCGCATGCTGCCGCGTCCGGCGACCCCCAGGCAGCGGCCCTATGCGCGTTCCTTTCTGTGCCATCATCCATTTTAGGGGCGCCAAATAACGGGAGACGCCCAAGCCCGGCAACGTTTCGTGGTTGGGTCATATGCACAAATGGACCTTTGCACACACAATTTTGCCTAGGTACGGCGCTCACACCTCTTGGCAGGATGCTGACTGACTGCGCCGACGTAGCAGTTTTGTCACATAACTGTTACGTCAGCGGGCGATGGGGTCGTCACTTCCCTACGCCTTTATTATTATTATTATTTGGTAGCTACTGTAACAAATAGTTACGTGCAACCAACATCAAACTAAGAAGGTCACAAGTGTGTTGTCGATCCTGGTTACTATCTGATTCAAAATTGCCCACAACCTGTAAATATACTGGTTCTGTTCCACTTCAATCTAAAAATAACGGTAGTTTCGACGATGATTGGATTCAGAAAAAGGTAAGAAGATGATGCCTCTAATTTTTCGACTGCATTTAAACGCATTAAGCTTTTCTCAAACCCTTTTTCATGTTAATTGAAAATCATGCCAAAACGCAACCAACATAAATGGCACAGCTTGAATTTATACTGTTTAATTTACTTAAATCTTAACTTAAGCTCCTTATATAATAACTACTTTAATTATTTTGCGCAGTTCCCGATGTAACATATTGCCAATCTTCATATCACTGAAGCTGAAATTGGAACGCGCTCAGTGTTCTGAGTACGCTCATGAATACCAATCTCATGTGAAAATTCACACGCTTCAAAATTTTAACTGATTTTGCTATATCTTTAAATGAAGAAGTGTGTTATACTTTAAATACATCTTTTATTTTTTGAAAAAAAAAAAGCAAACCTTTCATATCTGCCAACGTTTTTTTTTTTAATTTAGTTATACGCTTATTAATTTAAGAATGCCGAAATGTTCGAAAGTCGTAACATATAGGATTCTAAGATAATTCAATAAATGGGAAATATTCATGTTATTTGTGAAATAATTTTCCACATTGGGAATCACAGTCGCGTAGCATAGATAGCTACCATCCGTAACCGTTAAAGGCTATCCCCTTACTCCTCTCCCTATTCGAAGTATCTTAAATATATAAAGTAATTAAAAGTCTTCTACATTCTTTATATATTTTTAAAAAACGTAGAAAATAAAATACATTTAATAGACTCTCTATAATAAATTGAAAATCGCCATTTAATCTACTGTAAGAATTCAGAATGCGTCAAAAAAGGAACCTATGGCAACTCACAATGCTGTGTGACTCCCGACCTTAATGTATTGTAGTGATCTTTGAGTGTGGCAGAAGAAGCACGTGAGTAAAATAAATGTTATTGCAATGCAGTCAGTGAAGATAATGTGATAGCAGAAAAGTTTGCATGATAATGTTGTGACTGAGATTAAAAAAAGGTTACTTCGATTGTTTGGTCATGTAGAAATTCTTCAGTTATACTACTGCAGGAAGTCAGGAATTAAAGGTATTCCGGTTTGCATCCCGGATTCAGGTTAGGCTACCTGAATTTTTCTGTCTAAAATTGTAAAATTGTTACAACAACAACTAGTCAATATAATTTTCAATTATGTTTATCTAAATAATAACTAGCCTAAAACGAATCCTAAAGTAACGTATTAGTATATTGAGAAGAGTTTTTTTTTGTGAAAGTTGCCTACGAATCTTAACAACTAAAACAACTAGTCAATTTAGTTTTAAATTATGTATAATTAATTTTTCCAGACTTCGATAGGACGTTAGCTTGAATACATTATACATAGTAAGTAATTTTATTGATATCTGTAATGGTGTTTTGATCACAGTCTTCCATCACTTCTGCAACACCTGAATTTCGGCCGCATTACCGGCCCTTTAGAAAGGATTAGGTCTTGAAGGTTCCTAAGTCATATCGTTCAGGAAAAACCACTGGCAATGGTAAATTCCACAATGTGGTCTTGTAAGGCAGAAAATTTCTTTTAAAACGCACGGTAGTAGACCGACAAACAACGTGATGCTATGAATGGATTGATGGTGCTGTCGCGGCGTACAATGGTAAAACTCAGCAGCTAGAACTAACCCGAACAATTCCTTTTTGCACTCTCCGTGTAATATGCGGTAGAAAGCGCGCAAAGATGTAACGTATTTCGCAAGGCTAGTGGATCAAGCCAATAGGAAAAGACTTGATCAAAGATGATTCGAGCCGCTCTCTCTTTCATGAGGTAAGTAGAAGAAGTTGATATTGGGGAGGATCGGCAATGAGATAAGATTATTCCATGTAAACCTGTGGAAGCAGTGTAAGCAGTGGGTTAGCATTAAATACCGTCTCGGTTAATTGAGCGCATCAAGCAACCTTTCGCATCAAGCGTTATGTGTTAAAGATTTTTCCATTCCGACTATACATAGCAAAACGGCACAACCTTATTAATGGTATGTTTTACATTTACAAAGACTATAATATTGTAAATAGGATTATAATCTGCTAATATTTATAAGCTCAGATCTTAACCAATAAAAGCTAAAAAAAACACAATCACGAAATTATACCTTAATATATATTGATTCAATATAACATTGAATATTAAATCAATTTTATATTCATCATCATCATCATCATTACAGCCCTTCACAAGTCCACTGCTGAACATAGGCCTCCCCCAAGTAATGCCACAAAGCACGGTCCTGAGCCACCTGCATCCATCGACTTCCTGCATATCTTACCAGGTTGTCACTCCATCTAGTGGGGGGTCGCTACCGGTACGAGGCTACTACGCCTACCGGTACGAGGCTGCCACTCGAGAACCTTTCTTCCCCATCGGTTATCGGTTCTTCGAGCTATATGGCCGGCCCATTGCCACTTCAGCTTACTAATTCGTTGGGCTATGTCGGTCACTCTGGTTTTACTGCGGATATCCTCATTTCTGAGTCTATCACGCAGAGAAACTCCGAGCATAGCCCTCTCCATAGCTCGCTGAGCGACCTTGAGCGTCCTCATACGGCCAGCAGTGAAGGACCACGTCTCTGATCCGTTTTTAGACACCTGACACTTTAGTTTTCAGATATTGAGGTATACCTGACGAGAAGATGTGTCGTAATTTCCCGAACGCTGCCTAGCCGAGTTGAATCCGTCGATTGACCTCTCGGTCGAAGTTGGTACCTAGTCGGACTTGAAACTTAACAACTTCGAGCGTAGTGGTCCCAACAACTACCGGCGTAGGTGTGACATGGACATTAAACATGATCTTTGTTTTGTCCATGTTCATCTTAAGACCTATCCGTTGGGAGGCACTATTGAGGTCATTGAGCATAGTGCTTAAGTCCTCCAGCGATTCTGCCATAAGGACTATATCGTCGGCAAATCGAAGTAGCTTTAAAACGTCTTCCAATGCAGCGGTGAAGAGTTTCGGGGATATAACGTCACCCTGTCTTACCCCTCTCTGCAGTTGGATAGGTTTCGAGCTCTGGTTCTGTACTCGGATAGCCATCGTAGCCCTACTGTACAAACACTTCAGCACTTCGATATACCGACAGTCAACTTGGCACCGCTGAAGGGACTGCAGCACCGCCCAAATTTCGACGGAATCAAAGGCTTTCTCATAGTCCACATACGCCAGGAAAAGTGGCAAATTGTACTCTTCAGTCCTCTGTACAATCTGCCGCAGGGTATGTATGTGGTCTATGGTACTGAAGCCTTTTCGGAAACCGACTTGTTCGGGAGGCTGGAAGTCGTCGAGTCTGCTTGCGAGACGATTCGTAATGACTCTCGAAAACAGCACGTAGACGCGGCTCAGAAGGGAAATCGGTCTGTAGTTCTTCAAGAGAGCGTTGTCGCCTTTCTTAAAGAACAAGACCACCGCACTTCTGCTCCACGCCTCTGGAGTAGTGCCACCATGGAGGACGGAATTGAAGAGCTTCTGAAGGACTTCAAGTACCGGTGTTCCACCCGCTTTCAGAAGCTCCGCTGTAATTCCATCCTCGCCTGGGGCCCTGCCGTTTTTAAGGTGCTGGAGAGCCATTCTAATCTCGCTTATACTGACGTTCGGGATATCATCGGAATAGTGTCGGATAAGACTTGCTCTTGGATCGTTACTCACACTTACGTGTGGCTCCAACGATGATGTGTACAGCTGCCCATAGAACCTCTCAATCTCACTCAAAATCTCAGGTGTCCCGGAAACGATGCTGCCACACTCAGTCTTCAGCTTTAACAGTTGGCTCTTACGGGCAGACAGATCTCTGGCAAAGACTTTGGAGCCCTGGTTCCGCTCGATCGCTTCTTTAATACGAGCAGTATTAAAGTTGCGTAAGTCTCGCCGCATGCATTTGGAGATCTGTCTGTTCAGTTTCCTGTATGCTGTCAAATCTGTTGACGATTGCAGCCTCATCTCCCGTCTAACAGCCATGAGATTAAGAGTGTGATCGGAGAGTTTTTGTGTTATTCTGCGGCGGGTCTTGCAGAACTTAGCTCCGACCGCATGGACAGTTTCCACGAGCTTGTCATTCATATCGTCCACTGCATTGCAATCTTGTAGGCACTGAAAGCGGTTGTGTAACTCGAGCTGAAAGGTTTCGGGATTCTGGATTAGAGCACGAGGGGGACGGAGCGTTGACTTCATTATACGAGACCTCTCCAACTTAACGTTTAGGTTCAGTGTGCCTCTAACCATTCGGTCATCGCTGCCAGTTTTCACCCTTGCGATCACTGAGACATCACTGAATAGTTGGCGTCTGGTCGTCATAATGAAGTTAATCTCATTTTTGTCGAACCGTCGGGGCTCGACCAGGTCCACTTCCTGTGGGGCCGCTTCTGGAAGAAAGAGTTCATCATAAAGAATCCCTCTTTCTCCATAAAGTAGGTCAGCTGCTGGCCCCTTCGTTTCCGTTGCCCTACTCCAAATTTCCCTAACTTCAGCTCACCGTTTTCTCTTGTGCCTAGTTTTGCGTTGAAGTCTCCCATCAACACCGTGTAGTGGGTTTTGGAGGAATGCATGGCTTTGGAAATATCCTCATACATTTCCTCCACCTCCTCATCGGGATGTGCCGAGGTTGGTGCGTAAACCTGTATGACCTTCAGCGAATACCGTTTGGTGATTCTGAGTATCAGGTACGCGACC